ACGTGCAGGTACCACCTGGATCTATTCGCGACCTTCTCTGCGGTGCGCATCAGCACTGCTCCACCACGAACAGGGCCTGCAGATGCGCACGACTGGCTGGGCAATGCAAGAAAAACCCGGTCTCTGTTGACAGACAGAACTTCTTGGTACGAGAGGGCACCACGGCGGTGCGCCGCCGTCACCACGTGCAACCATATTTTCTCGCACGCCCGATACGGGCGCTGGCTCGTTCCCGCCGACGCCCCCCTCGGGTCGACTTGGCCCGCGACGGCGTCCAAGTCGGCGCAATCACATTTTTATGGAGCAACCGATGGGACACCACAACACCACGGGGCAACCATGAGACAACCACAAGACAACTGCTAGAAGACCTCGGAACAATCACGGACAACTACGGGATAACCGTGAGAAAACAACGGAACGGCCACGGGATAACCGAGGGACAACCACAGGACAATCACGGGCAACCAAGGGACAAAGGTGGGACACCGGCGGGTCAACCGACGTGAAGGGGCGGGGTGTCGCGCGTCGCTTGCGCCGGCGTCTCTCTCCGCAATCGTGTTGGCTCAGTACGGCGTGGTCTCGCGCGATCGGGCGGCATGCTGATGCAAGAGGTGAGACATCCCAAGAGCCTGGACGTCCAGAACGCGGCTCGCGTTCTGGCGCTGCGGGAATGATCGGGCATGTTATTCCCAGACGTTGCCAGCGTGTGGAACGTGTCGGGGGTCGGGGGCGCGGCCGACAGCTCGGACCTGCGCGAACACCCACTGGGGCCCGAAGAGCTCGCGGCGTCGTAAAGAGCGGGCGCAAGCCGTGGAAGCTGACGGCAGACGTCAAGTAGTGTGTCCTCACGCGTGTGGTGGCGCTCCAGGAAGAAGGGGGCCGCGGCGAAAGCGGTGGACGTCGACGTCAACCTCGTGCGCAAGAGCTCAAAGCTGGCTGCCGCTAGCTGCCCCGCACGAAGCGAAGGGTGTACACGCACGAGGGAGAGGAGGAGCGCGCGGCATTCTGCAAGCCCGCCCTCGGCTTGCCAGCTGCGCCGCTCGCCCGCCGTCTCCGCATGAGCCTCGACGGGGTGGCGCTGAGCGTGCCGCCGGCGAAGGACCCCATGAGAGCACGGCACTCCGTCGGAACGAGGAGCCGATGCTCCCGCGGAGGCCAGACGAGGACGCCCTGGCGCCGACGAGCTGCGACGCCCAGGTGCTGCTGGCCAGCACTGTCCCGCTGGCAGTGCCTCGGGGGGGCCGGCGCGCCGGTCTTGTTCCATCCGAGCGAGGAGCTCGCCAAGAGAGCATCTTTCCTCGCGGCGGCAGTGGGCGTTACAGTCGGCCCGTGTCAGAAGGGTGCGCGATAAGGATGCCAGGGCCTTGGCCTCTTTGGACGCTCATGTCGAAGCTTCTCGAGCGGGGCGCGGCCGACGAGAGTGGCCAAGGATGGGCCGAGGAGGCAAGGATGCAGGGGTACGCTTGGGAAAATTGTCCATTCTTACCATGCGGGTTCACATACGGGACGGAAATTCAACGTGCAGAAAAAGAATTGTTGGTTCCACGCAAATGGAAATCTGATCCACCCCGAGGTCATTCAGACCCGAAACTAGATCAGTTTACATCAGCGCGTCCTGAAATCTGATCCGTTTGACATCTTATTCATACGTCCATGGATTCGGCTACAACTCTTCACGATGTCAGTCCCGAACCCAAGAGGACAAACTCTCGTGCTGGGGACATGGGCAGCCCAAGACGGCCCCAAAAGAGCCCCACATCAGCCCCGAGAGGGCCTCGGGAGGGACCAGAGAAAACGACGACGGCTCCGAGACGGCCCCCAGATGGTCTCAAGATGTCTCAAGACCGCCCAAGAGGGCTTCAGAAAACCTTCCAGGGAGGCCGAAACGGCCACCAAAGTACAGTGGGGGCCCGGCAACAAGACACCTTCCACAAGAAACCCAACCCTGAGACCCCAGGACGTCATCTAGGACGTCCATCGATTTTCGATGTGAGAACGTCATGCTTTCCATGGCAAGACCATCGAAACCGAAGAAACCCAGGGCACCCTGAAGGCAAGCAAGGTGCTTCTTGGCATGGGCCCCCACTGTAATGGATCCTTACGTTTTGTTAGTAATGTTGGCATTCTCGCCCAGTCGGGCTTCTGGCAGCCGAAGGACGGCCCCTAAGAGCCTCCAAGATAGCGCCGAGATGGCCCAGGAAGTCTCAAGAGGGCCCCAAGACGGCCCACGAGGCCCTCTCAATAAGGCCCCCCACACACCTCCAGGACCGCCCTTCGCTCGTCTCTAAAACGGCCGAGTGCGGCCCCCAAGACGGCATCCGAAGGCCGCTGGCCGTTTAGAGGCCTCCTGAAGGCTTCTTCGAAGGTCATGACCAAACGTGTACGCGTATGCAACAATTACACTGGTGGGGCGGCCCTTTCCTCCTCCTCCTCATCCTCTTCCTCCTCCTGCTCCACCTCGCTCCTCGCTCCTCGCTCCTCGCTCCTCGCTCCTTCTCCTCCTCCTCCTCCTCCTCCTCCTCCTCCTCCTCCTTCTTGCTCCTCGCTCCTCGCTCCTCCTCCTCCGCCTCCTCCTCCTCCTCCTCCTTCTGAACAAAAATCTCGCTGGACACCTCGATGAGCTGTGTGATCCTACCTCTCCGCCCTGCGGATAACAGGTTGCCGGTCTTTCAAGGGGGCGCTTCTAGTGAGAAGGAGCACTCGTAGGGACACGTGGATTACAACATCGCTGATGCATCTTTGAATTACTCAGGTCGTCCGCTCCTCCTCCTCCTCCTCCTCCTCCTCCTCCTCCTCCTACTCCTCCTCCTCCTCCTCCTCCTCTACCCTCCTCCTCCTCCTCATCGTTATTGTCCTCCTCCTCCTCCTCGTCCTCCTCCGCCTCCTCCTCCTCCTCCGCCTCCTTCTTCTCCTCCTCTTCCTCCTCCTCCTCCTCCTCCTCATCCCTATCTCCCGCCAGTGTCGCCCCAAGGGCTTCTGCAGCGGCTGGGGAAGCACGTAGTCCAATCGCTTGGCCAAGCTTTGCCCAGCGCTTGGCCAGGCCACATCGGCGCTGGGGGCGGCGATGACTCGCCGCAGGCGTCCTCGATCGATGTAGCGCATGTCGGTGCGCGCACGCACGTCCTCTCTTTTCGCCTCGCGCAGGCGCGCCGCCCCGCAGGTGGTGAGCGAGCGAAGGTCCTCTCGCTGGCCTTGAAATGTCCTTCTCGGAGGGGGTCTCCCTCTCGTAAGGGCGGCGACACTACCCTCTCTCTCTCTCTCTCTCTTTCTCTCTCCTAAGGACCCCCCAAAAATACCCATACCGCTGCTCCCCGGACCTCTCCCAGGGTGCGCTCGAACCATCACTTCGAGGCGACTCCAGCAGTGGCGGCGAGGGCCTCTCGGGAAAAGGCCCCAAAAAGGGGAAAACGAGGGAAGGGTAGCGGCATGGATACCTTTTCCTCCTCTGGAGGAACAAATCAACGGCATAAACACAGACTTTTGACGGTCCGCGCGGACTTCTCGGATCTGAGCTGGACCCCTTTCCCTGGCGCGCGGAGCGCGCCAGGGGCGGCGCCAGAGAGGCGCCGCCAGGGGGCCCCAGGCGCCGATCCAAGAAATCCGCGAGGACCGCCAAAAGTTTAGGTTCAAGGCCGTTCTTTGTCCTTCGAGCCTCTGGCATCCCTCAGCAGCAGGGGGGGGCCGCGAGAAAAATGTGAGGAAGAAGAGAAAGAGGAGGAGAAAGAGTAGGAGGAGGAGGAGGAGGAGGAGGCGGAGGAGGCGGAGGCGGAGGCGGAGGAGGAGAAAGGAGGAGGAGGAGGCGGAGGAGGAAAGGAGGAGGAGGAGGAGGAGGAGGAGGAGGAGGAGAGGAGGAGGAGGAGGAGGAGGAGGGAGGAGGAGGAAGGAGGAGGAGGAAGAAGGAAGGAAAAGGAGGAGGAGGAGGAGGAGGAGGAGGAGGAGGAGGAGCAGGGCTCTCTCTGGCCCCGAGGCCCTCGCCCCGTCTCGCGCCCCGAGAGAAGGCGCGGGCTGCTCGCATCGGGGCGCCCGCCTCGCCGCGCCCCGCGCCCCGGAGGGCGGGGGCCCGCCCCAGCGAGGGGAGCGTTCGTTGGCAGCCCGTGGGGCCGTCCCCGCCCCCCCACCGCGCGCTCGTTGGACCACATCCCAGTGATAATCTCGAGCACCCAGAACGGTATCGAAACAGTGTCGAGCGAGTATCGCCTTCCAGGGCCCGACACGTGAGTACCCTCAAGTTTCGGTACTTTCTTGGTGCTCGAAATTCTCTCTGGCAGTGAAGACTAAAGTAGATAGAGACATCATAACTCATGGGAACCTTCCATACCATCTTGTCGTATCTTGCGAATCGACGCTAGTCGACGCTAAATCGACGCGAACCGACGCTAAATCGTGACTATCTCATCGACTCCTAGCCGCTGATCGACGCTCATCGACGCTAAAGACGGAATCGCGCGTGCATACCAGGCTCCCACGATTTGCTACCGAGGGAACGGTGCTTGCCCCGAAGACCGCGGACACGCTCCACTCTCAGACGAAGCTAAGGCGCGGATCAACTCGGGTGCGGGTAAATCGAGAACCTCTGAGAACCGGCGGGGCGCCGGAATGCCGCAGCCCTCTCCGGGCGTTCCGCAGCGCTCTGGAGCGGATAGTTTTCCTCGTCCTGGCCCCGTCCGACGTTCCCCCTCCTCTGCCGAACGTCGAGGGAGATGGCTCGGTCTCGGGTCACCCCGACGTCGCGCACAGCGACCCGCGATGCGCGACGCGGGATCACCTTCGCGACACCGCGCCGCCCCCCGCGGAGAAGGGCGGCCGCTCTCGCCCAGATCGCGACACGCGAGGACCTTCGAACCCCGCGGGCGACCCGCGTGTTCCTGCCTCCGTCTGACGCCAGGAGGCCGACCCACGTCGGACCCAATCCCATCAGCAGAGTCTGAATGGACTCGCTGACCCCTCCGAGGGCCCCCATCCCCTCCCCGACGCCTGGGCCTCCAAAACCTCCTCGT